CACGTACAGCCTAAATTAAAAATTTAAAAGCAGTGCCTTTTAAATATCCCCACTGCTGACAGTGAGGTTTAAAGGCACTATAATGTGTCAGAATGGAGAGAACCTGGTGCATTCACCATCTGGAATGAGAATATGGATAAAAAATTCCAAAGATGTTGTCAGCTTTCTGTAAATAAATGAGCCTCTTTTCAATACATGATGTAGTGGTGCAGGATTTTATTGGATTACGGTCCATTTTTCCAATCCATATTCTCTTAACTTGCTGGTAAGAATATTGTGGGTGGCCATATCAAAAGCTTTGCTAAAGCTGGCTCTGGGGGCTTTGGGAGGACCAAAACCACCATATTTGCATATTTGTAATTTGCTTAATGAATATGCAAATATGCAAATGAATGTTACTGGTCCTCCGAAAGCTCGTGAATGGATTTACTGGTCCCCATGTCAAAAAGTTTGGGAACCCCTGCTTTAGCAAGTTGTGACATTTTAATACATTTTTAATACATGTTTATATATAATACACTGTTAGTGCTCTCTTATTTTTAGTTTAAAACAAATCTTCTTGAGTCTGAGTTTTTCTTTTAAGCTTGGGTTGGAATAACTGAATTTGATACATTGAACTAGAGTATTGCATTTGATCTTGAATTAATATGTAGCAAATTTCGATGTTATTGCATCAGTAAATTTCTAAAGAAGAAAATTTTAGAGGTTGTGAAAACTGCACAGTAATAATATTTGGTAAATTATAATGTCACTTGAAGAAGTGTGATAGTAGTGTACTGACCATACCTCTCAACTTTGAAGGGAGTCTTTTTGAAAACCTATTGTAATATATAATATATATATAAAATTCTAGTAAAATTAACTTACTGCCTGAGAGAAGATACCTATTTGGTTTTTAACACAAGAATCTTGCAGATGTTCTGAAATAAAAGTACTGCAAGGCTTGCAGGAGCCACTTTTGGTAATTAAATGAGGAAGTTGCCCCTTTTCGGTAAAATAATAAGACAACAGAGAGATGTACTTTGGAATTTATACTAATGATTGTCACATTTGCCACTGGTTTAAAAAAGAATATATAGCAAAGAAGATAGTGCAGCTCATAATTTGTCAAGAAGTGGCTGAAGGCAGCAAACTAACTCTGACTAGTTATTTTAGTTCTTTAAGGCAATAGGGGCATTTCTTCATCTTCTGTGGAACAGTTCACACAGCTTTGGCTCTTTTGGGTAATGTTGTTTGTAAATTTGGCTCCAGAATCAGCGAGGGCTGAGTATCATTACTTTATACTGTTGTTCACGTGTTTTAAATTCACACAGACCCAATGGTAGATGTGTGTTTTTTCAGGCACTTGCACAGTTCTTCTTCTTTAGGTTTCCAGTGGTGTTATTCAGGCTTGATAGCAAGTATAACCATATCCAAATTACAGTACCCTAAATACAGGTTGGACCTCCCTGGTTTGGCACGCTCAGGACCTGACTAGTCCTGAATGAAGGAGTTTGCTGAACCAGGACAGGTCAATTCCATCCCTCTACTGACAGGACTTTGGGCTCTCCTGGGATCTTTCAGTAGACCTAGTGCAGCTCCCTTGTCCCCGGGCCACCAGCCCTGCTAGCCATTACAGGGCTACCATGGCTTCAGTGTCCAGGGACCGGTGGGACTCTGTTGTCCCAGAGCCGCCACAGCTCTGCAGCCCCACGGTCACTGGGGCAGCCGCAGCTCTCAGGCACCTACACTGCCACAGCTCCAAGATGCTGGGGCTGCTGCGGCTCTGGGGCCACCGGGGCTGCTGCGGCTCTGAGGCCACCAGGGATCCGCTCCTTGGTACTGCTGGGCTCTGGGACCACTAGGGTTCCGCTCCTTGGGGCTGCTGGGCTCTGTTATCCTAGGGTCACCGCAGCTTCTTGGGGCAGCCGCAGCTCTCAGGCACCTACACTGCCACAGCTCCAAGATGCTGGGGCTGCTGCGGCTCTGGGGCCACCGGGGCTGCTGCGGCTCTGAGGCCACCAGGGATCCGCTCCTTGGTACTGCTGGGCTCTGGGACCACTAGGGTTCCGCTCCTTGGGGCTGCTGGGCTCTGTTATCCTAGGGTCACCGCAGCTTCTGTTTGTGCCAACCCTGTGGCCACTCAACCTGCTGGTCCAGGGGCTCTCTGGTTCAGCAACATCCATGGTCCTCCTGGACCAGGCATGTTGCTGAACCAGAGAGTTCTGGACAAGAGAGGTTCAACCTGTATTTATTTGCTGAATGCACAGGGTCTATATTGTCTCTGTTTGTATTTTATGCCCCAAAAAAGCCTCTGTTAACATGGTCTACTTGGCTAGATTTTCAAATGTGTATATGCCATATCATAAATTCAAACATGAATTTACTTAACTGATCACCTTTACGTGTGAGCCAAATCTACAGCTGGTTTAAGATGGATATTACATTTTTAAAAGAAAACCATTTTTACCCTGATTTTTTTCCCCCTGCCAGAGTTATTTGAAAAGGAAAAGTATGAATTAAGAATAGCTGGAGGTGCTGTCAGAGATTTATTAAGTGGAATGAAACCACAAGATGTGGACTTTGCCACCACTGCTACACCTACTCAGATGAAGGAAATGTTCCAGTCTGCTGGTATTCGTATGATCAATAACAGAGGAGAAAAACATGGAACAATTACTGCCCGGGTAATCACAAACTTTGTTTATGAATTATGTTGGCTCTTAGTAGTTAGGAAAGATCTGTTAGTTGTCCCTCCCTGTATAAAAGCAGGATATATTGCACCCAGTACAGGACTTATCCAATAGTAAACTGCTACTATGTTTGATCTTACCCAAAGAACGCATTGCAATTATTTCTTCCAAGATTTGACTTTGTTTTGTGAACAAAAGTATAGTACCCCAAGTAGCATCAGACAGTTAAAAATGAAACCTCAGCTGGTTTAAAGGCAATGAACATTTTCTAATTTTTCTGTTCATCAAATTCATTATATATCTGTTTATATGCTGGATATGCACAAAGAAACATTTAACTCTTGTACATCCTTTTCGCTATTGTGTTTGAAGATAAAACAAAGTATTGTGTGAATTACAGCTCCATGAACAGAACTTTGAAATTACCACACTTAGAATTGATGTAGTCACTGATGGACGACATGCAGAGGTGGAATTCACAACTGACTGGGAACAAGATGCTGAAAGAAGAGATCTTACAATCAATTCTATGTTTTTAGGTACATGATTCCAAAAATAAAATACAGTTTCTGTCTTAATGCAAAGATTATGTTTTATCTAGCCTTCAACCAAAGCCACAATCAACCTCCACTTATTCCTATGTAATTCCCCTATCTAAACTGGAAGTTGCTCACATAGGGGAGATCTGACAAATCAGAAGACATCTTAGCCTTCATGTCTTCTGTCTCAAACATTTTCTTCATCTACCTAGTAATAGAGTATCTTGTTAAAACTAAGTGTATAACACTTTTTCTGTACTAGGTTTGGATGGCACGCTTTTTGATTATTTCAAAGGTTATGAAGATTTGAAAAACAAGAGAGTCAGATTTGTTGGACACGCAAACCAGAGAATACAAGAGGATTATTTACGAATACTGAGATATTTCAGGTAGTATCATTTTGCTTTTCTAAATAAAGAAATGATTAACATTATTTTCAACAAAATCTTCACAAGGACACTACATTCCACAGCTAGTTGCATAAATAGAAACTTAGTGCATCATGAAAAACACACAATCCAAGCTCATATAGTGCCTTGTTCTCGGTAAGGTGCTGAAAATCAAGAACTAAATGTGATTTTCGTAATCATTGTCCCTCTTCAGAGAAAAACAGGAAAATAGGCCTTGCCACATTAAGGTTTTCTATAGCCTCATGTCCCAGTTGTTAACAAAAATGTAGATGGAGAAACATGACTAGGTTACATTTTAGGGATGTAAGCAACTGGTCTACTATCCAATAAGCAAAAGCTTATTGGATAGTCAAGTAGTCCCTCGAGTAGTTGCTCCCCCTTTGCTGCCTCTATTCGAGGCAAGAAGAGTAGGAGCTAGTGCTAGGGGGAGTTGGCTTAAAAGCTGTCTCCCCGCTCCACCCCTCCAGCACAGTTTCCGCAGAGGGCAGGGGAGGCAGTGGGGGTAGTAGGTATTGGGTGCAGGCTGGGAATCAGCTGCACCTCTGCTTTTTAAACCTATTAAGAGCCTACATTTTAAGACTGGTATACAGCAGGGGGACCCGGCGCTAGCCGGAAATCAGCTGGCCTGGCTTGTGCTGGTTCCCTCCCGCTGTGCTTGAGCCTTTTCTGGTTCTTAATACATTTAAAAGGCAGAGCTACAGCAGGGTTAGCTCCTGGGGTCAGGAGCTAACCCCGCTGTGGCTCCCCTGCTTATCAACCAATTAATGGAAAATCCATTTACTAGTCAATTAGTTGATTCAATGAAATTTAGTATCCATATCACATTTAGAAATATGAAATTAATTGATAACATGAAACTCAATTTACTTGTTACTCTGTGCTCTCTCAATGGACCTAATGTTACCATGCCTAGAAATTTTCAGCAATAAATTTGATTTTCTTTTGTGAATGCCACTGATTTGGTAGCAGATGTGCAGAGTACACTGCAGTAGCTGGGAAAGTTAGTGGCTGTGATAGGTGTGTGATTCTTCTATTGAGGAATGGGAAGTTTTAGCATTTGTTTCAGGAGAAGTAAGAGTGGAATTGTTTATGAATGACATGTTGTCTGAGAACATGCATGGAAAAAGGTATTAAGAAGACAAAATTGGATAATCCTTAGAAATTTCTTGGCTTACTGTGGTAATAGGTCATAGCAGTTGAGGGCTAGATTTTTAAATGTATGTAGCCATCTAAAGATACAAGTAGGCACCTACTGGAATTTTCAAAAGTGCATAAACAGATTAGGTGTCTGACTCATCTTACGCATCTAGTCTGCTTAGGTGCTTTTGAAAATCAGGTCCTAAGACTAGTTCTATCCGAAGTTCTGCACCAACTTTCTGAGAGACCTTTTGCAACTGCGCCACCATTTCATCTGTAGTATGATGGTTCCTTTGAAAATGCAATGTACTTTGATATAAATGGATATAAAGCACTATAGAAGTTCTAATTATGTAAGTTTAGTTGCACTTTAATACTCTGTGAATACTTTGAGATTAGGACAGTTTAAATATTGCCTAAGGTAATTCTTTGAGAAGTAATAAACAGGAGAATCATCAATTGTAATAAGATTTAGAATTTTTATTTTGTAGGTTTTATGGAAGAGTAGCAGAAAAGCCTGGTGACCATGAATCTAATACTCTGGAAGCAATTAAGAAAAATGCCAAAGGTTTGGCTGGAATATCAGGAGAGAGAATTTGGGTGGAACTGAAAAAAATTCTTGTTGGAAACCACGTAAATCATTTGGTTCGACTTATGTATGAGCTTGATGTTGCTCATTATATAGGTAAAGTACAATGGGTGTTGCATAAGAATAACTGCAGAACAGCATATTAAGATGGTACTAGTCTCCATAGTTATATGTGTTTGTGCAGTACCTGATTAGACCATTTCTTCTGCATTTATGTATTTGTGCAGTACCTGATTAGACCATTTCTTCTGGTGATTTGATAGTTCCTTTTGTAACAGTATTTCATGATGCTTTTTGTGTGTCCCCCTTCAGGATTACCTGTTAATGGGAATTTAGAGGAATTTGACAGAGTCAGTAAAAATGTTCAGAATCTGTTTCCAAAACCAATGACCGTTCTAACATCACTGTTCAAGGTGCAGGATGATGTCATAAAACTCGATTTGAGGCTGAAAATCTCAAAAGAAGAGAAGAACCTTGGCATTTTTATAATGAAGCATAGAAGAGACTTAATCAAAGCTACAGATAGTCCAGAACCACTTAAACCATATCAAGAATTCATTATAGATGTAAGTGTGTTTCACGTAGCTATTTTATTTCTTTTATTAAACTCAAAGGTCTCATTTAAGACAGACAAAAAAAGATGCATTGGATTGTGCTGCCTAGGACCTTCAACAGGGAGTTGGGACTCGGGGGTTCTAGTCCCAGTCATGTCCTTGATCTGGTTTGTGATTTTGAATTAGTTACTTCTCTCCACACCAGTGTTTCCTTACCTACAATATAGGGATCATGATACTTTCCTTACTTTTAAAAAGTACTTTGAGATTTATGGATGAAAAATGCTATACAGCAGGGGTTCTCAAACTTTGTGATACCGCGACCCTGCTCTAAGTTGCTTGTGACCCCCCTCTGTGTTGCTGCAACCCCCTTCTAAGTTGCTCGCAACCACCCTCTAAGGCTCATGACCCCCTGCAGGTCGGGACCCACAGTTTGAGAAATGTGGCTATACAGCGTTAATTATAGTTTACTCCTGAGGAAACTCTGTGCTAAAAAAATTAAAATTCTGTTAGGGATATTTGTGTGTATTTGTTTACACAATTAACTGAAGTCTAGGCATATTGGTTAATCCTATCAGTTACATGTGCATGCACACACAACGCACCCCTTGCTGCTTTTGATAGAGATAGTGTTTGAGAAATGTGGCTATACAGCGTTAATTATAGTTTACTCCTGAGGAAACTCTGTGCTAAAAAAATTAAAATTCTGTTAGGGATATTTGTGTGTATTTGTTTACACAATTAACTGAAGTCTAGGCATATTGGTTAATCCTATCAGTTACATGTGCATGCACACACAACGCACCCCTTGCTGCTTTTGATAGAGATAGTGGTGGGGGGCAGGCAGGAGCAGTACTCAGAGGAGCCAGCTTAAAAACCAGCTCCCATGGAGCCACCTCCTCCCCCCCCCTTCTGATAAAAGAGGCAGCAGCATGGGGGATGGGAGGGGCAAGCGGGAGCCAGTACACCCAAGAAATAAGCTTTCAAACGGGCTCCCTTATTTATTTTTATTTTTTTAATATATAATTTATTTATTTAAAATATTTTTACCCTGCTTCTCTATTTAAAATATCTGAGGTGGCTAACAAAATTAGACACACACAGTTTTTAACATCCCTAAATTCTGCACACTATTATAAAAGTCTGCAAAATTCTGCATATCTTATTTATCAGAACAACCCCAATATAATTACACCAATTTCAATTATTTTGGTAATATGCTTCAAAATACCTGTCAGCAAATATGTCTAACAGTACAGCCAAAAAAAAAAAAAGATTTGGGAAATATTTGACAAATAGATTCCTTACTAGGCAAATTAATACAGAACTTTGAGTACCGTATTTTAGCGAATATATCCCGCACCCGAATATACCCCACGGTTTTTCCGAATTGAGTAGAAAAAATCTTGTATACCCCACGCACAAGTATAACCCGCAGGGTATATGAAACTTTTCTTTCAAACTGTGCCGGAGTATATTAGCTAATTTATGGTGCCAGGGGGGAATTAGCTAGCCTAAACGCCCCGGTTCCTGCGCAGCCTCCAGCTTCCGGGCAGGGAAGTGTTCATCCCGTTCGTTCCTGCGGCTGCGCAGGAACCGGGGGATGAGCGCTCCCCCACCCCTTTCTTTGGCTGCATAGGAACCAGGGGGGATGAGCGCTCCCCCGGCTGGAGGCTGTGCAGGAACTCACCAGGTGAGAAGAAAAAATATTGTATACCCCACACCGGAGTATACCCCATGGGGGCGGGCAGGGTTTGTAAAAATGCATATAACCTATGGGTTATATGCACTAAAATACGGTAGTTCATTTATACTATAATATAGAAATGTATTTCTCATACCCCTCTGAAAAAGAGCAAAGGCTTTGAGGGAATCTGGGGTAACTGAGCAGCTGAGGGAAGAGAGAAAGAGCCTGGGAGTAAACCTGGAAGGCTGTTGGATATGGGTGGAAGAAATACGGAATCGTACAGGAGATTAAAGGTCAGAAAGGAATTGTTAGGGAGTTAATTACTATATTGTAGCATTTGTAAAGTGGAATATCAAGGTCTGATATTTTGAGGCCCTCTCAGTGTCAGAGCTACCATTCACATGGTCACCTGTATCACACTTTAATACTTAAGCCAAAATTTTCAAGTGTGATTGTTTTGTGTTAAACTTCTGAAATCTATATGTATGTATGTCCATAGAAGTAATATAATTTTTAGCAGTGCTGTGCTGTCCCAGCTCCTTAAGATAGCAGCTTTTGCATGGGGTTTATCAGCCTAACTTGAAGGCAGCCCGCTTTGAAATGTTGGACTTGATCATCTGAAACAAAAGTTCGTCAGTGCTGCACAATTCTTTTCAAATGTATCTGGCAAGTTTTTTAATTTGGTTGAGACTATCCAAGCTGATCTCTACTGGTGCATTAACACCGAAGAAAAAAGGTTGATCTCAGGGGACCCTATATCATGGAAAACGTTATGGATCAAATTCAACCATTTGAATGGTGCACAAAATTAACTGGAAGCTAGTGCAGTCTCTGAAACAAAGGTATAAGATGCTCCTTTTGAGAAATACTATTAAGTAGGCAGCCCTCCCCATTCGTATAAGATGCTCCCTTTGAGAAATACTATTAAGTAGGCAGCCCTCCCCATTCTGTTACAGCTGAAGCTGTCACTGCAGTACTCTAGGCTCGAGATGAGCTCGAGATGGATCACTTTTAGTCAATTATATATTGAAAATATTGCCTACCCCTGTCTGGGTTTCCAGAAATTCTTCAAAGATGAGCCAAAATTAGCAGGTTGTAAAGCTAAATAATAAAAGACTGGTTAACTCGGGATGAAAAATACCACTTTCACTGTTTGTTCTGATTTATTCAACTTCTTATCTTAGTCAGTCTGGTATCTACAGTATGCATCTTGCAAGTGGCAATCTTAGTTAGCTTCCCAACATCTAATCGCCTACATAATCTGAGTCTACCAAAATGTAAATGTTATGTATGTATCAGTAGGGTACCAGTTGTGGTGTGTGTTTGTCATGTTGAATAAGAATGGATCTGAGACTAAGCTATTTTCTGGCATTTAATAGTTCTTGTGTGTTTGTGTTTTTAAGTCTAGGGAACCAGATATGAATTCCAGGATCTGTGAGCTTCTAAAATACCAAGGAGAAGAGCATCTTCTAAAAGAAATGCAACAATGGTCTGTCCCTTCTTTTCCTATCAGTGGACATGATTTAAGAAAAATGGGAATTTCTTCTGGAAAAGAAATTGGAACAGTGTTACAGCAGTTAAGGGATCAGTGGAAGAAGAGTGGTTACCAAATGGATAAAGAAGAACTCTTAAGTTGTGTAAAGGTGTAGGATTTGATGATAGTTTAGCAATGCACATAATTGTATTTACCTTGTTACAGGGAGAGTCAAAATAGTTGTAAATATAGTGCTGTTACCAGCCAGTATTGCTTTTGAGTTCTAGACATTGAGGTGTGGAACTGTTTCATGTTCAAAATTCATACTAAGCTCTGAAAGCAGGAGTTTAGCTATGTGGTAATGTGGGGCTTTATTTCTGCCAATCTGACTGAAAACCTACCTCTGATATGTTAAAATGGTAAATAGTACATACTTTGGTTTTGTATCTTCTATGTTTCTAATGGCACCCAGAGGTCACACAAGGATTCTTGTTATTCTGATTTAGCTACAAACAAGGTGAATGACTTCTGAGCTCCAGATAAAAATCTCTTTAATGCATTATTTTTGCCTGGAGGAAGTCTTGTACTTCTATAAGTAATGAGATCTAAATATTTTTTGTAGTCAAAGCTGAGTATCAGATAGAATTGCTGAAGAGAACATTTTACAAACAAATGATGTCCTGTCCTGTGAAACAACCCTGTTTTCCTAAAGTTTTTAGTTATTTTAATTCCAGAATCAACTGTAGATTAAAAAGATGTCTAGGTCAATATCATAAGAAGTATCTACTTGGGAATAAGTACTTTTTATGTGTCTTATGATTTTTTCAGTCTTGTTTCTCATTTTACAAGTGTACAAATTTATTGGAACCCCCTGCCCTCTTTCAAAAGTATATTTTAATTTTTGTGCATATAACATTGAAGTCTAGAACAGAGCCAGTGCTGCTGGTCCAGTTTTCTCCTCCCGGTGTCAGGTATGTTGTCATAGTAAAAAGAAGCACCTCTTATTCCCCTAATTGGTTAGAAGTAATGCATTTCGCTACAATCACAGTTACCCAAAAAAGCAAAAGTGTTAGGGTGTTTTTCACTTGACATACCATGTGCAAAATGAACCTGAACTTTGTACAGTAGTGATCTCTTTGATGTACTGACATTCCAATGAAATATGAGCATGGAAAATCATCTAGCATTTGAGGGGATAAAAAACTGACTGTACAAATATATTTAGTACAGTACTACTCCCACATCTCCCAAAATAACTGACTTAGGGCCTAATTCCTGTCTCCCTTACTTATGTTTTAGTTCCTTTCAGGGAATAGTTGAATTTAAATCAATGGGGTTATTTCAACAAAACAGACGACAAAACTACTCACTTTAGGTGGCAGTAAAATAGAGCAATTATACAGCATACTGTGTATCCATGTACTTTTCTGTATCTAATTATTATTGGAGGGAAGGTGGTTGGAATTCCAGTTATTTACACAGTGAAAACATGATACATTCTGTAGCTATATAGGGCCAGTGATCAGAAATTGAGCAAACCAATCCTTGTCTGCTGTTTTTGTTATTAAAAGTCTGGTTGCATTTTGTTAGTCTGATTTGCTTATCACAGCATTCTACCTGCACAATGTTTAATTTTTTTTAAAATTTGTTGGGGGGAGGGGGAAGAAATGTGATACAATGTAGCGCTGAAGTAGATCCTTTCCTAAGGAATTAAAACACTATATAAACCTGAATTTAATCCTTAAAGCAACCCAGTGAAGTAACAAAATTCTCTTTTCAGGATGAAACAGAGAGGGTTTGGTGTCTGTAACCTTCCTATCCTTAAAACTTCACATTTGCAGCAGATTCAAAAGCATGTTGCTTTGATTGTAGTGTGATTAAAAGCAATCACCATGTTTTAATTGCAACCTACTTAACACCTCAGATCAAATAGCCCAGTTATAGTTCTTAGTCAGTTTGGGGTCCCTGCCTCAGATGCACTGCATACTCAACATTTGCTTCACAGAATTTGGAAAAAATTTAAGATGTGAAACTGTAAAATCAATGTTCATATTTGTAAATGATTGCATAACATTTTAAATGAACTATTTTATTAAATTCTACAAAACATTAAAGCTTGCTCTTAGTAGTTCTATATTCTAATGCAGTATGAAGTTTAATTATATTAAATTCCACAATTAAGCATCAAAGCTGTTGTAGATATGGGCAAAATAACTTTGTGTATTCCCTAATCGTGGTTTGTTACACTATTGTAAGTTCTGAATATCAGCCACTTTAAAACTCAGCTTCTGGATTTTATACACAGTGATCATCCCTATTCCTAAATATTGTGGGTCTTTCTCTGAGGTGGTTGCCCACATTATGGTGGAATGGATTATTTCTCATGGCTCTGAAGCCAGAGTAATCAAGTAAATTTAGGTCTGTTCGATGTAAGATGCCTTGCGAATACCTAGATGCTTGGCCCCCACCAACATTATGTGCCTCTCTAAGCCTGTTGTAATAACACCTCTGAGTAGCATAGAGTCCTGATCAATCCAATTAGGTCCACATACTGTTGGTGCAGACATGTTGGTTATGTTGACTGTTACTGACCTTTACAAGCCATCCTGCAATGGCCCACTGTGACAGTACAAGCCCTGCTCGTGAGGATGCATGCTAGTGACAGAAGCCAAGCGTGCATCCTCACAAGCAATTTAATAACTGCAGTGGCTGTCTGATGGTGTAAGTTAGGTTGATGTAATTTTGTATTATAGATTTCGTGTACCTGGCCCCTTTTGGTGAGAAGGCATGCTTCCTCAGGTGTTGTCCTGCATCATCAAAAGTGACTACTGATTCTGGTTTGATACACCATGTTCCTTCTAGCCTTCAAAGAGCTCCCAAGCAGCAGAGGAAGATTCCTCACAAAGAAAGCATGGAGGAAGGAAGTGCTCTTCATAGCTACTCCCACACTTGCTTCAGCCTTGTAGGACTGACTACACAATCAACTAGAAGGGATAGAGGGCAGAAAAGCTGCAAACAAGGCAATGATACTCCTCTTCTGTAGTCTTCCAGGGTCCAGCTAGATGACTGATCTGCCTGAGATGTCCATTAATGGGAGGCTTAGGGAAGGGCTAATATTTAGAATGTTACCAAAGATCTGAGGCTGAGGTAGCAACCATCATGAGAGAGAGGAGTTCTTTTCATTCAAGATTCGTAGTGTAGCACAACATGACAGATTCAGCCTTTCTTGGTGCACCTGTTGGACTATCTCAGGGCCCCAGTTGGTTGCAGGTCTATTGGTTCCTGTGCAGGGCTGGAGTAGTGCAAAGCATCCAGAGCAAATGCGTGAATCCTGTCCATCAGATCAATCTTAAGAAACCCATTGATCTCCTATGACCCTAAGGCAGCCAACTTGTCTCCATCTTCACTGTCCTGCCAACATTGCCTGAAGCATCCCTGGTTGTCTTTGCCTTACCCAGCTGCATCCAGCTCTACCTTCTTCCACTCCCCAGGGTGGCATGTCAGCTACCAGGGTGCCACTGAAGTAACTAAATGAATCAGCCTCTGATAACGCAGGCTGGGGCTCTTGGAGGGCTGAAGTTTCAGCCACTGGAGAAATTAAAACTCCATTTCTAAAGAACTGAGACTCTCCAGCAGTCTCTGAATCATCAGTGTGAAAGTCTCCTTTGTTCACAGCTTGGGCAGCATCAAACTGCATGTGAGCGATATTGTGTAAGTGTGGGACATTCCTTAGCTTGGTGAAGGAATGCATCCTCCCAGCTGGGCCAGAACAGCTCATCTGCCACAGACTGTACTTCACCTACTACTGAAGTTGCTTAAGAGAGGTGCCTAATTTTTGTGCTCCTGCTTCTAGCCATCTGATTTGCCAGGCTTATTCCGGTAGTACTTTATCGTATCTATTCGCCTCTACGCTACTTGCCACTTCAAGCCAGTCCTATCATGGTTGGGTTTTTCTATAGCCCCTGTCACTGCAGTATTTCAGTTCATACACACACATGCACGCGGGTAGGAGAATACACAGAAGTGAACACACAGCATGTGCACATGCCAAACCATTTACCCATACAGGCCTGCACACACACAGGAGTACACCCACGCCTCTCCCCCCAGATATACATTTGTTTGTGCACACCTACACCCAGGCCCACACACAAAGCCAAGGCCATGTGCTCTTGCTCTCTCACACACACACATCAACTCAAAAGGCTTTGTTTTACCTCTGCCTATGCAAAAGAATAGTGCAATTGGATGCTCACCCTTCCTACCTAGCAGGCTCTCCCACTGGCAGTGAGCCAGATCCTTTCCCCAAAGGAACCTGAGGTTAACTAGGGTGGCCCGAGCATTATCTGTGGCTGCATAGCCACATGCCAGTGTGGCCCTGCACATTCTCCTATGGTGGAGGAAGCATCATGTCTTCCACATGCAGCTTTTCATGCTTCACCTCTGCCTGGCAAATTATGGGTGCCTATTGCCAGGGATTTCCCTAGCTGTACGAGGTTTACTTACACAAGTGGCAATTCCAGCCCTTCATCTGGTCTTCATCTGCCCTCTGCTATTAGCTTCCTTCTTTGATCCCAGTCCGGCAAGTAGATCTGCCAGCCCCACTCGCATCCTCTCCTCTCCCATTGCACCTGTGTACTGCCCTAGAACCTCTGTGCTGGCTTAGAGGGGCACATTAGCAATTCTGCCTGCAGGACCAAAGCCTTAGTTTGCCAGCGTCCAGCTCTGATGACCTTCAAGACATACTGCAATAAACACCCTACTTTCCACAGAGTGGGAGAGGCCAGCTGGCCTGAGCAAAGCATAGAGTGATGGGCTCCGTCCCTCTGGGTACCAAAAGTTTATTCTATGCCATGCATGTCCCCCCAAGAATAAGGGATTGGCACACTGTAAAATCAAAATAAAGCACTCATGTCTTATTGGCTTTTAATTAAAGCGACATTCTCAACAAGATGCTTCAATAATATTTCATATAATTGCTCTTACTCATGGGTAAGAGGTTTGCAGAGGCTAAGTGTCGCCAAAATTAAAATGGCTGACTATGCAGAAGGCCGCTGCTGGATGTGGGTGTACGTGCTTTGGAGGCATGCCTAGCTTGCCTGCCTTTGCATCCAGGGAGCAGAAGTGTCAGAAGCTCTCCAGAAGTGGGGGGCACTGTTCCATTGTGTTGCCATCCTCACTCACCTCTTGCTGCTTGCTCCTCTTCACTCCCTTCCCCTGATTCCCACCGCTCACTATTAAGGCAGGGCCTGGGATTTAGCTATGGAGAGTGCAGGGGGATCTGGCTGGGCTCACCGCTCTCCCTCTCCCCCTCCCCTGCCATCATACTTGGCCTGTGCTGCCGTCTCTGGCCCCAGGCTTCAGCCACATGGTGGCAGGTTTCATCTCCTGGATGCAGGGCCTCAGACTGAGCACGCTCACTCACTCCTGCTGCCCTGCTACCATCTCTAGCCTCAGGTGGGCATCATTCCCCAGTGACAGGGATTTGGGCCTGGGCCCCGGGCTCTAGCTGTGGGGCTTTGGGTGCCAACCCCTAAGCCATGTGGTGCTGGAAGCCAGCCCCACTCTCATCCTCTCCTCTCCCAGGCTATGTCTACACTGGCGAGACCTTGCGCTAAAGTAGTGGCGCAAGCGAGCATCTACACTGGCATGTGCTTTTGCGCAAAAGCATCCTTGCCAGTGTTAGACGCTCTCTTGCGCAAGAAAGCTCCGATGACCATTTTAACCATAGGGCTTTCTTGCTCAAGAAATTCATGTTGCCAGGTTACACTGGCCTCTTGTGCAAGAACAGTTGCGCAAAAGGGCTTATTCCTGACCGGGAGCGTCAGCGTTCTGGTGCCAGAAGCCCTGAGTTGATGCATTAGAATGTCAGCTTACTTGCGCAAGAACATGTGGCCAGTGTAGACAGGCAGCAAGTTTTTGCACAAGATTGTGCCAGTGTAGACACACCCCCGTTGTTTTTGGCCCCCAGTGCTGCCTGCTTTGGTTGGTGCTAGTTTAAGAAAAGTCATCTTCAAGGTGCAATAGTTTATCATCATGTAGATAATTATCACTATTGCTCAAGATTTATCTGAAATGCATAGTGCACCTAGTAATCAAGAGAACTAGTGTCTCCAGGGGAAAAAGATAAGAAAGAGCGCAGTTCATTACATAGCGAAGAACAGTTTTAAAAAATGAATTAGTATTCTACACACCATACTGGTACTACTGCACAGGACTTGAAGCTGTGTGTTTCGGAAATGTGAACTAGCTTCTATATAAAAGTAAGCCATAATGCGGGAAGTCTTACAAGGTGTCAGAGTAAAAATAAGGAAATTGAACTGTAACTGGATTTAATGTTTTTCAGTTGACCTGGTTGGCTCTAGAATGGCAAAACAGAACTAACAACAGCTGGGAACTGTCAGTGCTGGAGTTTGAGGCACTGGGAATGCTAATAAAGGGTGGTGTGAGGGTCACAAATCCTTTTTGGAGTTGACTAATCGACACAACCTTCATTCAGAACTGTTACACACTGAAGATCAGACCTGCTGGCACCTAAATGGAGTAGGCAGCTATGGTTTCGATCATTTTTTACAATAATTCCCAATTATTTCATCCTCCCACCCTGCTCACCCCATGCAACTGCAGCTCATTAACAAAAGCAGAATGAACAGATTAGAGGGTGGTGAGAAGGAAATTATACCTGCTAATTTGAAAACCTTTCATTAAGCACTGACATTTAGTTGAAAAGTGAGGAGCCGGTACTGTAATGTTACTTACTACCCCAAAACAGCATTAATGCGAAGATGCCTAATACCCATCTAGCACCACAAATGTGCCTATTCTTAGTGCCCTGGATACATGGGAAATACAGAGTGAAGATACACATTGCCATGATGCCGCTTCTCACCAGTCCAACCTGTGAGGCTCAACCAGGCCTACTGAGAGCGGAGGGGGGGAGCAAAAGGGGGCAGGCTCCCCAGCATTGCTACTGCAGATGCGGTAACAGCCTGAACCCTAGGCCCTTTAAATCACTGCCGGAGCCACACACTCCATGCAGCTCTAAGGGCTGGGGGAGCAACCTGCTCTGGGCAGCACGGCGGGCTGGTTGCTTCTGTTCCACCCCTTGTGCCCAAGACCCCACCCCTTCCAGG